AGTCTGGTCTGATCAGCCAGTATTTAAGTCCCCTTTGTTTGCTGTGTGTCAGGACAGTTTTTTGTTTGTTTAGTTAGTTTGAGGTTTGATATATTTGAAATTGATATTTTTTTGCCCTTAGTTAGTCTCTTCATTTGACCTCTTTTAAGGGCCCTGAAATTTTTGTTTGGATTATTGTTACTTTGGGGAAATAAAACCCAGGTTTTTGACAATCACCACTGTGTCCTCATGCTTGGTTGGCTCGGTCCCTCAAACTTTGTAACTACGAGGCCAGATCTGTCCGGAAAAAATGACGAGCAAGCAGCAGCTCCTCCTGGCAGGAGGTTTGCAAATGTAAACATGTAGAAACATATCCTGTGATTTAGCCCATAAATATCACTATTATCAATATATTGTGGAAAAACTCCAGAAAAATAAATTACTGTACCCCGACCGCCCACTCAACTTTTTGTATTCAGTAACGCAACAGGTTACTGTTTTGTTTTTATTAAACAAGTTTATTTCATAATAAAATATAAAGCTATACTTCTATTTTTAATTCAGTTATTTAAGAAAATACTTGGCCCTTTATGTTTGAATATGAGATAAAAAAACTCAGGTTTAAAAAAAAAAAAAATGGTTGCGTATCATTTAATTGTTTTGTGATTGACAACATCAATTAACGTTAGATTGAATCCTGAATCAATCGCTGCTATTTATTTCTTGACAAACACAGAAAGAAATCACCTTGCTGGTTAAAAAAAAGAAATAAGAAATAAAAGAAATCTAGTCTTTAGTCTACTGGGCAGAAAATGAAACATAAATTTAGTCAAATATCTGCTCCGAAAGTTTGTTTAGACACCAAATGGATCCAATTAATGATTCTACATTAGTCTTTACAGGAATAAACACAAATCCTTATCAAAAAATAAATACTCAGACCAAAAGAGTGTTACAAACGTTCAAACCGTTGCTCCAGTTTATTGTCTTACCTCAAAATGTAGTCAGCATAGTTAAGCACAAGCCTGAGGTGGGAAAAAATTGACAGGTTTAAGTAAATGTTTAATAATATCAAAGCAGTTAAAAAAATAAGCTGGCTTACAATGAATCGGTTGTGTTACAACGGGATCCTGCTGTCGTATAGTTTTGCGTAGCGAGATCGATCCACTCTGGTTTGTCTGGAGCGCGGATTTCTAGTTTCTGGGCCCAGAGCATAATGCAGTACCCTACCGAGTCGTTAAACGTTATCGGCATTTGGCTGACATTAACTCCAGGGGTTTGTAACAAGCTGCGGCCCACTCCCTGGTTTAACAAAGAGGGCTCTGAAATCACCTGTAAGTTACAGAAAGATTTACGGATAAAGTTTTACCGACTTCGCTGTTTTTGCTCACCAGACGGACGGCTCTGAGATCTTACCTGTGACGGCTGAAGCCCTGTGTAGATCGCCGTGTAGGAAACACCTTTGGCCTTCAGGAAACTCTGAACTTTTCCTATAATCTCATCTGTTGACAAAAACTGAAATCAGTCTAAAATTCTGCACCTAATCTCGGCCACATTTACTCCTCCACACCGTTTCACTATACCATTGTTAGAGAGGATCTTTTTGCAGGTTTCGGGTGAGCTGCAAAACAAGAGAGATGTCATTAGCTCAAATTCTGGGTATGAAACTAATAAGAGTTAGAAATTCCTCTCACTTGCTGCAGTACGGCAGGTTGATGAGCAGCAGGTTGTTGACTGATGTGTTCAGGTTCAGCTTTTCCAGGGTGTCTGCATCAACCAGCAGGGGTGAAGCACTTAGCTTCTCCTGCAGCAGAGCGGGGATGGCGGATTCTCCTGTCCACTCCACTGCAGGAAAAATCCTCGATGAGGAAGATGACTGGAGCGCCGCCTGGAAAAAAACGCGTGGGGTTAATATTTAGCCTGTGAGTAATTAGCTCATAGCAGACGCACCGAATAAACCTACCTCGAGGTTCCTAAAGACGCCTTCCTGCTTGTTTCCAAACACTCCTCCAAACCGAGTAAAGTCATCTTTGCTTAACTGTATATAAAAAAACACAAATTTTATAATAAATACAATTAAATGGTTGTTATGAAAGTTTTTGAGGGCGAGTCGCCTACAGAGACGTTTCCCCACATGAATAAACCCTGAAAAAGGGGAAGTACAGTAATAGCTCCCAGTCACGCCACAAATGAGCCTGTTCCTCCGTATCGTCTCTGTGTTTCCGCTTCGTTTTCTGTTGAACATGTATGTCAGGGAAGGAGGGTGTTTTTTATTTGTTTATTTATACCTCTGCAGTTGGAGTCATTTTGTTTCCACATCTTTAAAGGTATAAAACAGAGACAGCGATACAGCAGCCCATAGTTTACATGAAGCGTTGCCACTCTCTCCATTTATCAATTATGATCAAATAAATAGTGAGAACAGCAGAGAGGATCATGGGGGCTCCTCTTCCCTCTATTAAAGACCCCAATGACCCCTCACCCCCCCACCATGGACTGTTCTCCCTGCTGCCCTCTGGGAAGAGGCTTCACAGCATTCAATCTGGGTTCAGCAGATTCTGCAACAGCTTCTTCCCCACCGCTATCTACGGAAGAGGATTAGGGCCAGTGGGAAAAAAACATTTTTTTTAATTTCAGTTAAGTATGGGGAAAAAAGTCAGAATTCTAAGAAAAAAGTCAGATTTCTGAGAAAAAAGTCAGAATTCTGACTTTTTACGGTGTCACTAGCGGCTTTTGGAGACTCTTACGTGAAAGCATGTATCGTTCCTACTCTGCCGTGGGGCGCCTCCCCCATCCCAACCCC